GGATAGTTGGTAGAACAGAAATGAGAGCATCGCAATGTCGTGGGACAAAAAAATTTTGTACACGTAATCGGTGGGACGATGTCCAGTCTGTAGGTTTACCTCCTATCAAGTATTGGCTAGGAAAAAAAAATCAGTTGACGAACTGTAAAGTTGCTTGCACATTTAATTTCACTTAACTGATTGTTGTGATGCATACACTGGAGGGTAATCACAAAGAGCACCTCCTGTTAATCGACAGCCGCTCTGATGGTGGCGAGTTCTGCCTTACCCTACTTCTAGTTCCATTTTTTTTCTGGATTCACCCGCCTCCTATTAGTTCCGGACGTAACTTCGGTTTTCAAATTTTGTGAACTATAAAAACCTCAAGAATACATATCAAAAGAGACCACTTGTGAATGAGAGTTGTTGACTAGCGATGACCATCTGGACATGCAAAGCGTTGAACTTCTCATTGATTTCAATTTTGTTGCTCTCCTCTTCTATCTGGAGCAGTTGAGTTTCATAATTGATGCCAACTCTGATTTTCTAGTGGCTTCTGCTGTCATGACAGCGTCAGATGAGCAACAGCATTCCCTACTTCTTGATTCGAGAACCACTCAGGAGGGCTTGAAGAAGCTGCCGAAAGCATGTCAGTAGTCTGCAAAGGCTGTCGTGATGGGTCCCTGAATCTTGACCATCCACAGTAGAGATGAAATACAGCCAAGATGAACTACAATGGAGCCGGAGGGGTTCCATGAATCGCGATTATTAAACTTTGCATGACTATTAGGAGAGAAAAATTATTACCACAGCTTCATACCTTTCCATCTCATGTCAAGAACTTTCCACCTCCATTTTAAAAGCCTTGGTGCAATCTCACCTGTCACTACTGTGGAATCATGTGTCATGGGCAGTTTTTTTGGGTTGCAGTTTTGGTTCCTCCATTCAGCATGGTTTGCAATTCCGTTGCCCAGTGACTCAGCACCTCATAAGAAAGCATCAACTTCAAGTCCGTCTACTCAAA